CTTCATGCCCAACAACACCAAAACAACCAATCATAATTAATTACATCCTTGGGAGAATGAACAGAATTTAACATATTTTTAGGACATTTAACTTTGATTTTTCTCTTCGTAAATACCAGATGATTTTACGTCTTCAGGCCTTAAATTGTTCAAATAAAACAACCTGAGATAACAAGAAAATCGGTCTTTGCTTGAAGTTCTCACAGCTAATGTAACTTTTGTGTGGGATCACAAATAAGCAAGATAGTTTTTCTATAAAAAAGACAATATGACTTGGTTAATTAGTCAAAATACATTGTATTGATGCAAATAAGCATCTTTAGTTCAGAGAAAGAAAATGTATTAATGAAATTAGCGCTCAGTATAGTTCCTAATATAAGTAACGCCAAGTAAAGCAGAAGTTAAAACAATCTTAAAGGATCATTCGGTCATTACCCATCTGAGAATCGGACAGATGGGATTAAATTACACACTCCATATCATAGGCAAGCACCCTAGTGGACTATGCACTAATTATAATCAACTAGAAACTTTATTTATTATTTATTAATAGACTTAATAGACTGCAGCAAATATGACCAGGAAAGGAGGGAATTAATATCAGCACTTGATGGGGGGCACAATATTACATTAGAAAATCTACTTGAAAAGAATTCACGGAAAGTACATAATCGTTCAATGAATTATTGAAAACTATAATGGAGAGAATTTAGTTAAAACTTTTGTTTCTTCAGTTTGTTTTAAGAAAAAGAAACACAGTTCCTAGATGGCACTTGTTTCTCCCGACACACTTCAATGCAACACACCCCGCGCATGCTCACTCGTCCACGCACGGAGGTTTTGAGCAGCGCTTGTTTTGCTGCCTGAGGTAAACTTTGGGCAAAGAAAAGAGCAGTTTGTGTTAAAGGAAATAAATAAACTGCACATATGTTAAACCAGTGTTACACTGTGAGTTTTTTGCAAAGATAATTCCAACGTGAATGCGCGTTAACTTGGCGGAATAGCGTTTGTTTTGCTGGGTGGCTAAAAACGACACCGAGCAACGTTGTTATTGAACTTCCACTGTCTCTCTCAGCTCGTTCCCTGCAATGTGACTGCAGTCCTGTGAAAAACAGCATGGACAGAGAGTTGTTGAGGCATTGTCTGGCGTATCACGGAGAGTCACTGTTCAACAAGCTGAAATGTGAACAGACAGAAAACCCCGACTTCCAGGCGGTGGTGTCCGACCTGTGCAAGGCCACGTATGAAAGGTAAGCAGCAGGTTATGAGTGCAGACCTCCACAAAGAGCCCATCTGTCATCAGTCACTCTTTTTAGTTTCACTTTGCATGATTTGACATTATGAAGATATTTGCAGTTTGCATATGAGCTTGTCTCGATCACTCATCTTGCATTGCCCGTCTAAATGTGTTGTTACATTAATATGTATTTTACATTTGCTTTCTTTCTACAGATCTTGATATATTTTGTTTGTCTGATTCACAGCTACAGCTGATTTATTTTCAGTTTCCAGTTTCCTACAGCTGGCCACCTCATATTTCTTAGTATTTTCTTGTATTAGTGCAGCTTCCCCACAAAGACCCCATCTGTCATCTGCCCTCACTCTTTTTAGTTTCACTTTGTATGATTTGACATTATGAAGATATGAGCTTTGATTTGTTGTGGTCCAATGTCCTGTTTGAACTTATCTTGATCACTAATCTTGCATTGCCCGTCTAATGTTTTGTTACATTAATATATGTTTTAATTTGCTTTCTTTCTATAGATCTTGATATATATTTTTGTTTTCTTTATCATCTAATCAGCCAGTTATTTTCTTGACTAATGTCTAACAGTTTCCACTTTCATAAAGCTGACAGCTTCATATTTCTTTGCATTTTCTTGTATTATATAATATATAATATAAAACACAGCAAAGGGGAAAATCTTCACATTTAAGAAGCTAGAAGTCAGACACATTTGGCATTTTTGCATAAAAAATGACAGAACACTTAGTCAGTAATGAAAATAGTTGCAATAGTTGGTGTTTTTACGTCCCTTTTCATTGGTTGTTGCAGCCTTTGGCTCCATAATAAAGATGTTTTTTCACATTATTAATTTGATGCCTGATGAATGTCCTAAAGTTATTTAACTCGGTGCTGATATTGTGCAGGAATTCAGCTGTTTCTTTAGCACAGTTTCATCTTCCCCTGCACCTGTCTACACTTAGTGTGACCAAAAAGATTATTCAAGCCTCTGCTGAACATGTGTGCCCTTTTTTTGTGCAGCGGAGGTGAAGGACAGGACAGTCCTCTTGTGGAGCAGTTCATTGCCAGGAAGGCTGACATCCTGTTCTGTCCAACATGGAAGACTGCCACTCATCAAGAAGAAGAGCACGAGGAGGAGGAGGATGCTGCAGGTGTGTTTTTGTTTGACCACATATCTCAGGCTCCGTCCGCACCAAGCCGTTAAATTAGTTCGTTTTGTAAAGATCTCTGTCCACTCTAAAACATTTAACTTAGACATTAACAAAATAGTTGAATCACTTTCTCATCTTTACACCTGGAAAACAAAACTTTGCTGAACTCTCAGCTTATTAAACCTTTGTTCAGTCCCTTCCTGCTCTCTGTGATCACCTTTATAGAGTTGTAATACAACCAGAGTTCACATTTTATGACAGAATAACTGTACAACACTGTGCCTACACAGGAGCCGTAGCGTGAACACCGTGTTTGCAGAGCAGCAGCAGCGTCGGTGCTCTGTTTGCGTCTACACAGGATGCGTTCAGGCACAGTTGAATATAGGTCACCTGCGTTTTTGCAGAGTTCGGAGCAATACACAATCACTGTAGTTACAGGTGTAAAATATACGTGAAACATAAAAATACACTTCAGCTGATACTATTTAAAAAGAATAGATAGTAGAAATAGGAGCATATTAGTTCTGACAGACGACTGAAAAACGCAGAGAGAAAAATCTTTTTTTATGAATTTAAGCAGCTTAATGTGGATATACTCTACAGGACTTGCTAAATATAGAGAATCCATCTTTGCATGCTACCTATTTGAATCTGCTTTCTGCCTGTGCCTTCCCAGAGCCCTATGCCATCATGCCACCACTGGAGCTGTTCATGGAGGTGTCTTACGACGAAAGAAGAGCCATGCTCTACAGAGACTTGGAAAGAGGAGACATCGTGGTGGGGAGGATCAACAACATCAGAGAATACGGCTTCTTTCTCACTCTGCTGTGCACGGCAGGAGGACTGAAGAGAGACATAGAAGACCTAGAGTTGTCGGTAGGTCAACAAGCTGAATAAATTGAATGTACTTGAGCCATTTCACAGACTTTGTAACAGATGGATGCCAATCAGTCGGCCACTGTAGGTGCAAAAGAGTCTTTGAACTTACCCTACGGGGTCGCAGCTATTTCAAATGTGCAGTTGTTTCAGTCTTGGTTTATTTCGGTTCATTAGTTGGCTGACTAGTCCTAACACCTGATTTCTTTCTTCTTTCCAAATCTTTCCTGACTCTGTACTATTATTATTGTTTGATAAAGACTCACATACTGCCCTGAAAGTGTAATTAAATCTATGTTTTTCTTTGCTTTTTGCCTTCAGGCTTTATGTCACATCAGAGAAATTCCCTCCACTGGCAGCCATGATGATCCTCTGTCCTACTACCAGATTGGGGACTTCATCAGAGGTTAGTTGTCTTTGACAGCCAGACGTGTTTCCCCTAAAGTTGTTAGAAGTTGGTGACACTGCAAATGACTTGTGCAGAGAAACAAAACAACACAACAATGTTGAATCCATTCATATGTTAAAGAAACTTAAATGTCTGTAGAACAACATGACTTTATTTCTTCGGTGAGTTTTTCCTGTTTTTGTTGTTCCACGTGTCCACAAGTTCTGTGCTTTCTCGTTCTGCAGCTTCAGTGAAAGATATCGACCGCTACCAGGAGAAAATCACAATTTCCCTCCAGCAGGCTTCTCTCTGTCCCAGCCTGGAGCACATCAAACTGGGTGTCCTTCCCCGGGAGGAGCTGCCCATACACTACGGGTAACAACACAACATGACACGACAAAATAGACACGTAATGTGTAAAATGATCGTCGTAAAAACTCCTCTCCTCTCCTTTTAGTCGCAGCGTTCGTGCAGCCGCGGACTCCAGTGAGACATACGAGTGTATACTGAAGAGTTGCCATGGTTACCACAACCCCTCTGTAGTGGAATACCTGCTGGAGAAGGTGGGAGTTAGTGACACCCACCCACCATCAATGATGAGAGGACTACAAAGGTAAACTTTTTGGGGAAAGATTTGTTTTGATCACATTGTTTTGATCATCCTTTGTACTTTTTTT